TCTCCCACCCTCCGCCTCCTCTTCCACCATCTCCCTTCCCCTCCCCCTGCCCTCCCAGGCTCGGGGCCGGGGGATGGGGGCGAGGTTTCTCCTCCCCCTGCTGCTGCGGGGCCCCTGTCGTTTTGCCGCAGGGCAGGGAACGGCTGCCCCGGGGCTGCTGGGGAGCCGTGGCCCTGGCTGGGCGGTGCCTGGGTCCCGGCGCTCCCTGCAAACACTTCTCCGGAGCTGCCCGGCGAGCAGCTGGCGCTGGGCTGGCAGGACCCGCCCTGCTTGGGGTCCGGGGGCCGACCGGCAGGGGGAGAGCGGGGCGGGGTGCGGCTCCTTCCACGTGGGACGCTGGGCAGTGACAGGAGCCGATCGCCGCCTGCACCGCGCCTGGGACCAGCTGGGCTGTGGTTGCCTGTCCGGAGCTGCCCCGCACTGGAAGCAGGGAGAGGATGATCTTTGCCGCCCCTGCTAGCAGCAGCAGCCGGTGAAGGAGAGAAAAACAAGCGCAGGGAGAGCTGGGTAAGACCATCCTCTCTTCCCCATTGACCCCGGGGGGCTGCTGCGGGAGACAGGGGGCGGCAAGAAAGTGTCACCCGTGACTTGATTTCTCAAGATCTCGGGGCTGCAGAATCATTTCTGGGCAGAGGCCGGGGAGCTCCGCATGCGTTCGGGATAGAACCGGGCTCCCTGCAGTAAACCCCGCTGGATTCAGCTGGAGGAATTTGTTTTTCCTTTGAAAGAATTGTGAAAGATCTGATTGTCTCCGACTCCGCTATGCAAAGAATTTCAGAGTGGAGGGTAACAAAATCTGGGCTGGCACATCCACCTTAATTCACGGTGTTGCGCCAAAAAAAAAAAAAACGGATTGAGGGCTAGTCTGTACCTTCCGTCCTAGGCTGCCATTTAGCAGAAATATGGTAAGAAAAACCAGTATTTTTAGACTTGAATGTGTCTGGCCAGGGGTGTTTTTGTAGGTATATTTTGTAAAATGTTACTATGTAAAAGGCCAGATTCTGACACCCTACTCAGTGTGCATTACTCTGCTGGGCTGGGGTCCCATTGATTTCAGGTTAAGATGTCAGCATCTGCCCCTTACAAATACCTTCATTAGCTGTGATGGGCTACAGTGTAATTACATGCTTGAAAATCTGATCATGATTTACTTAGCTGAACGGCTACATTGACATATAAACTGACCGATATGCTCTCTCTGAAAGATGTGGTTCTTCTGGATGAGGGTGAGGCACATTGGTAGTGGAGTATGGGGAAGTTTCTACTTCTGCTCGCTATGCTAGATCTAGTGACATACCACATCAACGACATGCTTTTGAAAATTGCTTTTGCAGGAAAGTATCCTGTCTGGCATTTTTCAGCAAGGCTTCCCCATATCTTGCCCCACCCATTCCTGCGGGCACGTGGGTGCACACATCCACTGCCACTTCCCAGAGAGCATTTTCGCTGACATCCTAGCAGTGCTGTGAAGGGAAAACCTCATCAGTGCATCAACAACCTAAGATGAGTTCCAGAGCCATGAGGAAAATCCAGGAGCTCTCCTGACATCCTACCTGGGGATTGGTCCTGCTTTGAGCAGGGGGTTGGACTAGATGACCTCCTGAGGTCCCTTCCAACCCTGATATTCTATGATTCTATGATTCTACCCATATTCTCAGGCAGGAGAAACTCTCCAAATCCCGCCTGAGGTTCTAATTCCCAGCAATGTACCCATTTTATGAGACAGATGGCTCTTGCCATGGGTTCCTTGGACTCAGCATACATACATGCCAAATGACCTGACGTGGCAACTCCTCTGGGAGGGCAAACCCCAATTTGAGGAGCACATCAAACAAAATATTGTGTAGCTTGCACCCTACTCGGGGGTCAGACTGTTGGCCAAATTCAAGGCTGGTGTAAAGGAACTGAACTGAAGTGAGTGGAGTTACCCTAAGGATGAATTTAGCCTACTGCATTTGCCTGGACTTTAACTTCTGTTTCTCAATAGTCAGACTCAACCCTATTTGATCCTAGTTGACTTGATTTTCCATTATGCAGAGGGAATGTAGGTGCTGTCAAATAAGGCCTAGAAACATGGTATGCAGAAATTTATCAAGATATCTGAAAAGTTATTTCTGTCTTGTAATAAATGAATAGTTCTATCAGACTCTCATCAAAGGATCTCACTTTACAAACATTAATTTTAAAGTCTCACATGACCATTGTGTATAGGATAATAGATGAAGGATTTCTCCCACCGCTATATAATGGAACCCTCTCTGATGTAGAAGATGGGAGCTGTTGATAACTACACAATGGCTCAGATCAGGAATAAACAATGTAACCAGTTAAAGTTGGCCTGATGTTTTAGGAGGCAAAATGTAATTATCTGAGGCTAGGTCTACACTACCCGCCTGAATCGGCGGGTAGAAATCGACCTCTCGGGGATCGATTTATCGTGTCCCGTCGGGACGCGACAATCGATCCCCGAATCGACGCTCTTACTCCACCAGCGGAGGTGGGAGTAAGCGCCGTCGACAGGAAAAGGTTGATTTTGCCGCCGTCCTCACAGCGGGGTAAGTCGGCTGCGATACGTCGAATTCAGCTACGCTATTCACGAAGCTGAATTTGCGTATCTTAAATCGACTCCCCCCTGTAGTGTAGATGTAGCCTGAGCTGCCGTTCAACTGCCAGGGTTAACACCTCTGTTCTCATAAAAAGTGTTTATGGGGATTTTATCAGTAAGGATTCAGAACAGGCTGCCAGCTACTGAACCCTGGCCTCTGGGACCATGCTAGGGGGAAAAGTCCCAGAGCCCAACCTCCAGCCTGAGCCCAAATGTCTACACTGCAATTTTATAGCCCTGCAGCCCAACCCCCGCTCCCCGCCAGCCCAAGTTAACTGACATGAGCCAGCCACAGGTGATTTATTGCAGTATTGACATACCACAGAGCCCTAGTTATTATCCGTGCTTTTTTACATTTATGATCTTGTTACTTTTTACCTGATGGAGTACAAATGTTAAATATATTGTAAATTCTAGCTGTAGTCTTACAACGTGATTTAACACTATTCTGACTTTGCCGTGGCATGGGGCTCACCACTTAACTCATAATATTATCAAAATATTTTCCTAGTCATTTTCACAGCACACTTTATTATGAGTTTCTAATTCCCAGCTAGAACTAGAACTCAGCATTATTTACCTGTTTTACGGAATCACATACGTACAACAGATTATTATAGGGATGCTTATAAATGCTGTGCTGCCAACATTGACTTTGTCTTATAAGGTGAACAAATGAACACTGAAAGCACAAAGTACAACATGGATTTTGCAAACATTTGTTTTTTTAAGATACTTGGAAGGCCCTCATATACTACCATGTAAAGGGCCATACAAATACTTACATAAACGATTAGATCAACTCAATAAGGTTGAGATTTAGCCTATCGCCCTTGATTGTAGTTAATTTAGCTGGCATTGTTTCTGTTAGTTCTGCTGTGGATTTGGGCGTGGGCTCTGACGCAATGCTCTAGTTGTTCCAGTTTAGGAGCTGTGCTGGAAGAATACTAAGGAAGGAACAATTAAAAGAATCTTGCAAAAGAAGTGGACCGAATAGTTCTGTGACTTAGCCAAGCAACTAAACTTTCTAATCAGAGGCTGGGCACTGTCTGTTTTCCCTGGGAAAGTGACTGCTGTATAACAGACAAATTTGATAATTGCTTCCAGATGTCGACAGCTTGGATGGATAGCCACTTCTATGGAAATGAATGTGGAAATAAGTACAAAGAGGGTGTATGTATTCATCTGCTGTTGAGTCATAGTGTATGCATATAAAGAGTTATTGCAGTTGAAAGTAACTAGTTGTATAATGTGGCAGCTGAATATTGGTTGTGATTTGTCAGCATAGTCTTTTATTCCCACAGAAAGTTTAAAGTCAGAGGGGTCTTTGTTGATTAGCAGTACAATAACTTTTCCATTTGACATAATGATCAATATTGTTTTCAAGTTCAGCTATTTCCAACAGCCTGGCACCTTACCTGACATTTCAAAATGCTTCAAAATAGTGAAGTCAGAAATAAATGAAAATATAAGATTTCATGATATATTTAAAATGACCGTAGGAAAGCTGTGAATGAATAAAGGGCCTGACAACAAAGTCAATGGAATTACATTGGGCAGAAATTGGACCCAGATGATTGAAGTCAACTGGAGTTTTGTCATTGACTTCAGTGGATTCAGGATTTCACCCAAAATGTTAAAACCACCTTAAAAGTGAGAGCTGCCTTCAAAAGAGACATTAGACTAGGAATAATCTAGTTTAACAACAAGCAGCTGTAGATCTGTCAGATTTTGGAGTTGAAAGGGTCCCAAGTATGGTTCTGCTCACTATGGTTATAGTTATGGCAGGTGTCACTAGGTGGCGCTGTTAAACATCATCTCCCAAGTTCTTCCTCTTAGTACTTGAGCACATTTTTAGACTTGGAAGACATGCTCATGGTGGTGTTAGTTTTGGGGTTTTATATATACAGTTCTGGGTTTTATATATAAGGTTCTGTGCCAGGAGACGGAGAGTTTGTTCTCTGCCTTGGTGTCCAATTAGAGTCATAGGCCTGGTCTATACTTAAAAGTTAGGTCGAGATAGGTATGGTGGTTTGGGATGTGATAAATTAACACCGCTGAGTGCTGTCATTAAACCAACCTACTCCCTGGTGGAGACACAGTTAGGTCTATGGAAGAATTCCTTTGTCAACCTAGCTACTTCTGCTCAGGGAGGTGGAGTTCCTGCATCGACTGAAAAACTCCTTCTGTTGCTGTAGAAAGAGTCTACACTAAGGTGCTACAGCGATATAGCTGCAGCACTGTAGCTGTGCGGCTGTCGCACCCATGGTGTAGACATGGCCATGGAGTTTAAGGCCAGAAAGGACCACAAGACCACCTACTCTGACCTCCTGCACATCACAGGCCACTTAATGCCCACTCATTCACCCGGGTACTGAGCCCAATAACCTGGATTAGACTCGAGTCAGTTCTTCAGGTAGAATTACTCCCTGAGAACTGGGCATTGGTGTTGGGATGAGATTCCTGAAAGAGAGGAATATAAGAAGGGAAAGTCTGATATATGTGTAAATAAAGCAATTACAGTTACACTTAGAAGATATCCAGACATCACTTCATTGATTTTCTCCTCCACTGGGAAGCCAACCTGAAAGGCCCTAGACATCTGCTACTGCTTGGCAGAGGGGCAATGCTGTTATCAGGAGACTGGAGTCAGGAGAAGGGGCAACAATAAGTATCTCAAAGCATCCGAGCACCACAGTGGTTTTGCTCACGTTAGTGTCTCTGGCTTGGAAGGTTGAACCACGTTTAAGTGAGCCAGGACATCAAAGCCCAAGGATAGGAGTCACGAGAGGAGAGTTGGGCAGAATGCAGTCTAGCTCCATACCGTGCAATGCGCAGTATGCTTGATATACTGAGCAAGACTGTCCCCAGCCCTTGCACAGGTCACAATAGGTAAAAAGGG